CTATGCCAGGTCCAGTTTCATTCTTCTAGAAGGTGGTAGCCTACTGGACCTAAGCTGAATCTTCAGAATAGCAACAACATATCTGTTATCAGAATTCACAAAGTCCCATGGGGACCAGAGTCCTCATAGCCAGCCCTGTCAGTGTCAGTGGTTGCGCTGAATTCACCCATGACCAGAAGAGTGTCACCTTATGGACTCCCATCCACCACTGAGAGGAGGTGAGATTAAAAAGTCTCCCTCACCAAGATACCACCTACTGCGGCTCGAGCATATACTGAGACAACAGACAAGATACCCAGAGAGTGCCTTAGCTTGAGTTTCATAATACGTTCATTGAACAAAGTGACTTTGGACGCCATTGGGAAGAGCCAACCTGCCACAGCAAAGTGGACCCTGAGTATGGCAGCCATTAGGATGACCAGACCAATGATAGGTGTACCCTCATACAGAGAGTCATTCCCTGGTCTGCATACCTCAGAAAATGCCGCCTCTGAAATGCGGAGTTTACGAAGCTCCCCCAACAGCAGGGAAAGATGGTCATCGAACTGGGGAGACAAGACAGTTCACGCTGACGCCTCAGCACCACACCAGTTCCAATCCCCAAGAGGCCTGACCCCATTGGCTCTCTGACGGTTTTGACTCCCACAGGGATTTGGCTCCTGAGGGATTCCTGTGGGTGGCTGCAGCAGAGTAGCTCATGTGAAGAGCAGAAATTAGTCCTATCTGCTGTCTCAGAGCTGTGTAAAGTTTTTGTGGTGGCTTGAGTCCCAACCCTGCCACCAACCCCCAAATGTTTTCCTGCAAGTTGGCGGGCCACTTGCAGGGCCGGATGCATTTCGTCATACCCAGGGTGCAGAGGAAACACATCAGATAAAATTTCAACTGGGTTTGTATTTGATGGCTAGGATAGCCATCCTGTATGATGCACTATTTTCGTACTCAATAAATCCCTCCCAGCGAGGAGCAAAAACGTGGACTATCTGGCAGGGAGCTGAGAGCAAAAACACCTGCGGATCCCAGAGGACCAGATTGGGAAACACTGCTGTATATCATTATTTTTTCTCATTAAATCACATGGTGACAACTCAGGCCCTGTCAATGGAGATATTTACAGCCAGGGCAATTCCAGCTCCATCAGAAGAGAAATTCAGAACACCACATGATGAGCTTGATCACCCGTGTGTGTGTGTGTTAATATTTAATGGTGTTTACCTAACCCTGCACCTAAACTATGCTAGGAAAATGTACCCCCATCAGCATGGAAAACAAGTGGTTGAGTCTGTAGGTTAATTCTGGGGCACCATACATGTACTCATCAGCCTGTTAACTCCAGCCTATATGGTGATTAATTTGCCCCCTATCTTTCTCTCTATTGCTCAGTAGACCTCTGTGTGTGTTCTCTGCACCATGTAACTCTCAAAGGTGCATTTTTAGGTGCAGTCAGAGATTTATGTGCGATTGCCAGACCAAAGTAACAACTTCTATGCTGTTATTGACAAACTCTACAAATCTAAAACAGTCGAAAATGACATAAGCAGTCAGTGCTTGTTCTTAGTTGCTACTAATGGCACATGAAATTCTAAAATTGACTTTTGTTCCTAATTTATCAGAGAAATTTTGCCAGAACAAAATGCAAGACTTCTGCAGAAGTGTACTGGAATTTTACTGAGTTCACACATCATCATAATTTGTTCTCCTATGTCTATTAATGGAACAATGTTCTTAATATGCAATGAAAATAAATAGCAAATATGAAAAGGGTACAGATGAGTATGGCTATTCATTCATGTAAGCATTTGCTTGAAATGTGTATCAAACATTTTGTTGCCTGAACTCATGTCTGTGGGTTCAGATCCTACCTCTGCCCTGTGTGGAGTTTCCCAGTTCCCCCAGTGTTCTGTAGATTTGGACCCCACCTCAGCCTTAAGTAGACTTTCCAAGTTCTTGTAGGGTCGTGTGGGTTCAGATCCTACCTCTGACCTTTGTGAAGCGTCCATGTTCTCCTTGTGTCGTGTGGGTTTTTGACCCCACCTCCATCCTGTGTGGAGTTTCCATGTTCTCCTTATGTCATATGGGTTTGGATCCCAACTCTGTCCTGTGTAGAGAATCCATGTTCTTCCTGTGTGGTGTGGGTTTGGACCCTACCACCACCCTGTGTGTAGTATCCATGTTCTTCTTCTGTTGTGTGGGTTTGGATCCCACCTCTGCACTGTGTGGAGTATCTATGTTCTCCCCATGTTGGCCAAGGTTCCTCCAGGCACTCATGTTTGCTTTCCTAAATAAATACATAGTGTATGGGAGTGTGTGCCCTGTGATGGGCAGGTATCCCATCTGGTATGTACACCTGTCTTGTGTCCCGTGATGGGCTGGTATCCCATCTGGTATGTACACCTGTCTTGTGCCCCGTGATGGGCTGGCATCCCGGCTGACATGTACCCCTGCCTTGTGTCCCATGATGGGCTGGCATCCCGGCTGGTATGTACCCCTGCCTTGTGTCCCGTGATGGGCTGGCATCCCATCTGGTATGTACCCCTGCCTTGTGTCCCATGATGGGCTGGCATCCCGGCTGGTATGTACCCCTGCCTTGTGTCCTGTGATGGGCTGGTATCCCATCTGGTATGTACCCCTGTCTTGTGCCCCATGATGGGCTGGCATCCCGGCTGGCAAGTACCCCTGCCTTGTGTCCCGTGAGGGGTTGGCATCCCGTCTGGTATGTTCCCCTGTCTTGTGCCCTGTGATGGGCTGGCATCCTGTCTGGTTTGTACCCCTTCCTTGTGCCCTGTTCTTGCTGGATAAGCCCCTAGATAACTGAAAGCCTGTACTGGGTAGTCAGTTGACCTCTGGATGATACTTGAGCTTTATATGCAGACATTCTGATCTGATTCCTTGTTTGGAAGAGTTGAGAAGCCCTTATCAGGTGGGGGATGATGTTGGAGGAACAACTTAAACTGATGTTAAATATAGTTGTTTTGCTGTACTAAAGCATGTATACAAGTCGATATATGCATAACAGCAGTATTTTTTTTTAAATCATCATGATATTCAAAACAATAATACAACTTCATAAATGCACAGTTTACTAGACAGCAGAATACTTAATACATTATACTTTACTCTGCCATATTCCTATTTCAGTCATGTCTTTTACTTAAGTTTGAGTTTAAAAATTTAAATGTAAAGTTTTATTGTGACGTGTTTCAAAGAACACTCAAATTTTTGTGGCACAATTGCAGGGGAGGGTACAGGTGCATGGGAGACAAAATCAATATAGGAGTTTTAGAACATAAGAACATAAGAACATAAGCCTTACTCGACAACTTTTACATATTTATTTCGAATATTTATCATTTATATAGCTATATCTTCTGTTTCAGCCATTTCTCCTAATTATTTAACATTTATTTCATAAATCCAGTAGTACCTAGTCATATGTGTGTGAATGTTACTGACTAAATAGTGCGAGTAAGAATTTCTATGTACTGATATACAAATAAACATTCTTGAATCCTGAATGGAAACCCATAGCTTTGGAATGACGTCATTTTAGGAAACATGACATCCCGATCGAAAGGGGGCGCTGCGGCTGTGAGCCACGACACGGCGCCAGGCCTTATTTCATTTAACTGGCTCGCAAGAGTAACCGACTTTCAGAAGAAGACAAATTGAAGAAAAAGATTAAAACTAAACGCTGGAGTTGTACCCGCGGCTCGTATTTTCTCTCCCCTAGTAGCTGTCTTCTCGGGAACGGGCGGACATGAGTGGAATCCCTGGCACCGCCGTGGTTCAGGTCACCAATCTGTCGTCGGCGGTGAGCAGCGAGCAGATGCGGACTCTCTTCGGCTTTCTCGGTGATATCGAGGAGCTGCGGCTCTACCCGCCGGAGTACGTGTGCAGCCGATCGCATCGTTGGTGCTGGGAAACAGCGGGGATACGAAGGGCCTTTGCAAATCATGGGGCACGTTTGTTGTCGCGTCCCTCGTTCGTCAGCAGCGTTTTAAGCAAATTTGTATTGCCTTGCCGGAATATAAATTCTCGTTTATTTCGCTTTTCACGTTTATATTGTCCAATTAGGCTAATTACCGTTAGCTCCCCTAGCTAAATCTCCAGCAGTGTCTCGTTAGCCGGCTAGCTGGACGCCTGGCTTTTGGCTTCGTTCACGACTGACTGAAATGTTAAAAAATAATTAATTTACTTTTCTAGCCGGCATGGCAGGTCGCCTTTGTAAACCATAGCATGTAAACAATGACTGACTGAAACGGATCGGCCTTGGCGACCGAGACAGCACCTAGTGCTCGGCACCATCACCATTATACAACTGTAATACTCTGTATTATGTATACTTGAAATTTGATATTAACATCTGCATTATTATGTTGCAATAGTAAGCTTGTTACTTTGTACTAACTGTTAAATTATATTCTTGGCTAGTTCTAAACCCATAGATATTGATGTACGTGCCCCCCCATCCGGTGAAGAGCAATCGGTTGTTACCGGTGTTATGCCGAAAAAGGTATCCCTGCCGTAGAATGCATGCCTGTCTCTAAATGACTGATTTCTCGCTGATCTGAAACGAGTTGAGCTACTTTGTCGAGTAAGGCTACCGTAGTGCTAATCAATAGCCCCCAAAAACACGTAAAATTCTAACCCTAACCCCTAAAACACCCCTAAAACCCTTATCCCTAAAAAACCCCTGACCCCCAAAAAACCCTTAAAAGCTCAACTCGTCGGAACACCGGCATGCATTCTAAGGCAGGGATGCCTTTTTCGGCATAACACCTGCAAACCATTTTCTGATTTTTACTGTTTTTTATATATTATTTAGTGTAATTTTGCTGAATGTCCCTTCAGATTTAGTTTTAGTAGTAAAAGATTCACCGTGTCCCTTAAGTTGCAGCCGAGGTTTTAGGCGACTGGAAGAATGGGCATTTAGCATGGGAGGGTGATTATTATTCTCCGCTAGACAACTGACTGATGTCGTTTTCTCTTCTCTTTCAGCAACGCTCCGCTCTCTTTCTCCTCCAAAGTATGTTATATAAAATACCGAGAACCTTCCAGTGTTGGCGTGGCCCAACACTTAACCAACACGGTTTTTATTGACAGAGCTTTGATAGTTGTGCCCTGCGCTGAAGGTGAGGATGGCCGTTTCGCATGCCCGAATCACTGTCACAGAATAATTAAGTGAAACCAGTTTTTTTCCCCACCAGATATAAGCAAAAGTACAAGAGGATGTCTGTGCCTTTGTCCTTTGTGTAGTCGTAATTGGCATAGAGAGAGAATTTCAAACCGGAAGACTGTAGCCTGTCTGTTCTGTGTTGTAGGATTCCCGTATCCTTGAGTTCCTTGAGCAAAAATTCCTGTCACTGTGAGAGTGTGAGAGACAAACTGCCTACAAATGTGAGATTCTGTGTGTGTCAAGGATGCCTTTTTTCTGTAAATTTCTATTGATAGAGTCCCAGGGTGAATTATTTTTTTGGTTTAAAGTTATATTTTATCATGGTCATGTCCCCTTTAGTGTGCAGCAATTTAGACATATCGACACAATCCACATTTAAGAATAATGAAATACCAATTTGCAGGTTTTAAGATGTGGTGTTCCTTTTAAGACCAACATGCTTCATAGGGGATGATGGGGGGCATTTTTCAGAAAGTCACGGCCCGTTCTGTGTGTAGCTATTTGCACATTACTGAGTATTTCCATGTGAGCCCCATGCAGCCCTTGCCTAGTAACCGTTAAGGCCCATCTGTCCTTTAGCACACTGTAACCCTACTGTGGGATGCTTTTAAATGCCAAATGTTTTTGACTGCTGTGGTGTTATCAAAGGCTGTGGTAAGATGACCCAATACATAATATGTAGCTAACGACAACTTTCTTTCTCTCTTTTTTTTTGTTTTTTTTATTTGTTTTTTTTTTTTTATTTCCTTCTCTCCTGGAACAGCTGTTGTTCCCATTTCTAAAGAGTGGTCTTTTCTGCACTCCCTCTAAATTTGGTTCTCTCGTTTTTTTTGTTTTGTTTTTTTTAAATAATAATAATGCTTGTCCTGGTGACTTGGTGCCAGATGGAAACTGAGTTTATTAATTTGGTTTTGTATGTTTTTTTTCTGTGTGATTATGTGTGCATATCAGATGACTAGACTGGCCCAGCTGGTACACTACACTAGCCTGTGTACGGCATTGTTTGCCAAGCCTCTATTCCCGTTGGGGCCAGCGCAGCCTTCAGGGGGGAATGTGACCAGGAGAATAACCGCTGAATCCTTCCAAGATGGACACCTTGTCTCTTTTTATTTCTTTATCATTTTATTTTATTTCTTTTTATTTTCTTGTCCCTTGTTTGCTTTTAAGAAAAAAAAAACGTCATCACAATTGTTGACCTTGTTTGCCTGTTTTGATTCTGTTCCCCCTCAGTACGTTATCCCATAATGATCTCCTCGCATGCTTGTCTGAATATTGTCTGGGCTGACATGACCAGTGCCCGTGGACTGTGTTTTGTAAGTGGGCAGAAAGGGGGACGCTAACGTTTCGTTTCCTCTCAGTCACGTCCTCCTAAACACGCTCATGTTTGTAGGATTCCTGACCTCAGAATCACAATAGGATTAAATCTGCCGCTTTCTAGACAAATTACCATGTTTAGTATGTTTTTAGATGTTAAACTGTGATTAGTCTTTAGGTACAAATCTGAAATGTCATGTCACTTTTTAAAGCAAATTAAGATGGCACACTTGAAACTGGCCTTTTTTGCACATCTGATTGATAGCCAGCAGTTTGGGAAAAGTAATTCAGCATTTCTTAGCCTTTACTGTAGTGTTTATCACAGGTAATGGGGTTATTTTTAATCAGTAGATTTAAGTCAGCTTAAGCTGAGGTAGCTAAGGCATCTGCCCAAAGTGCTGAACTGCATGTTATTTTGGGAGGGGGTGGGGGCTTGGATGGAGGGGGTTGTTTTGTTTCTTACTGCTCAGTAAGGAATGCACTCAACCCCCCCTCCCTAAGCCCATGGGGTGTAACATTCAGGGAGAAGATCTGTAGAGAATGTTGGTTATCTTAAAATTTTTGGCTATATTTATATACATATATATATATTTGGTTTAGCATCTGGCGATATTGAAAGGTTCTTAAAAATGTTCTTCTTTTCTGTATCCGATGTTCTGTGTGCTATTAGTGATGCAGCCAACATGAACGGTTGTCTTGTGTTGCACACCTTTCCAACACTGCGAAACGATCGCCCCACGGAAAGGCGCCCATGCTTGATATCGTATGGTTCATGACCAATATGTTTCCAGTACAGGTGACCCATGCCTCAAAGTGTTAACTCATTCTCTAAATTACTATTTTTTTTTTAATTTTTAAGGGAAAGTGCGATCTGATTCTTTGTGGGGAAAAAAAAAGAATTATTTCTTGTAGTCTTATAAATGACAGTGAAACCTTAGAGTAGATGTGACAGTATGTGGTATTCCAGGAAAGGGTATTCTTCACTTCATGTGACTCTTATTAAGAAGTTTCTAAGCTTGTAGATTTTGTGAGGCCTTTTGTTTTTTTCTCTAGAACTTACTGGGCTGATTGTGAGTTCATAGAGGAGAAGGTTGGGTGTTTTCTTCTCCACCACCTGCCCTAATGCCTTCACTCTGCCCTGCAGGTAAAATTCCTGAGGAGGCCAAGGCCTTGTCGCTCTTGGCCCCAGCCACCCCCGTCGCCAACCTGATGCCCGGGGGCGGGCTCCTGCCCATCCCCACACCGGCGCCTCTGCAGAATGTGAGTGTGCTGCTCTTCCTTCTCTCTGCCTTTTGCTTTATGGCTCTGTTGGATGTCAGTGATGCCTCCATTGTGTCCTGATGTCACGTCAATCTAGCAGTGTTGTCGGACAATAATGGACAATATTGTCCATTTAAAGATGCCGTGGTTTTTTCTGCATTAATGACCTTCACATTCATAGTCTTTGAAAACCACACACTTGTAGAACCTGGTTGCACAGTGCCCCAAACGATGCTGCATCCTTCCAGAACTGTCTGAGATGTTCCGAGTGTTCTTTGGCCGCTCCAGTTCCTTGTGGCCCTCACTCAGACTGGTCTTTTGCCTCCTGGGGCAGATGGCAGGGCTCATGTCCTGCTGTGCAGTATCTGTCCTCAAGGTCTTGCTCACCATCTGTCACCACCATCTATCACTGTACACTTTCCGCTTGTGGTGGATTTATTAGTGGTTGACACAGATGACTGATATTAGGCTGATACTGGAGTGTACTTAAATAAGGGCCATTAGTAAACAAGAACATCTCTAATCACAGGAATTCCCTCCAAATTTTGTTGTGTCGTTTAATGGGTTGATGTCACGTAGTTGATGTTGGCTGAAACCCAGAAGTCCTTTAAATAGCTTTGCATTTATTTTTTATTTTTTATTTTTTTTTTTTTACAAAATTCTCCCTGAATCTTAAGACGATGGACAGGTTCAAACTTAGATTTACACAAGGTCAGCAAAGTCCATATGTTGGCATGAGCCTTGGGTTAACATAGTAGCCTGCAATGTGAATCAGCTGACTAAAAAGAGTGAATGTAGAAGTGTTTCCCAACCTGTGGGCTGTGGCCCCCTAGTGGGCCATGTGAGTATTGAAGGTGGGCCTCCAAATGTTGCAGCGTGCCTTTTGTAGGTCAATTAATGAGAAGCTCGATAGCAGGCTAAAGCCACTAGAAAATGGATTAATGGTTTTCAACAGGGAAAAAATGAGATGAAACCAACGAAGAGCAAGTAGACATTAGAACTAAAATGAAAGGTTATGAGTCTGTACAGTAACCCCTTCGAATTTCCGAGGGTTAGAAGAGGAAGCTGCCTGAAAATATGAAAATTTGCTAATAATACTTGGGCACCCGTAACCATAACGGTCTGCTAGTCTGAATGATTACATAAAAAGTCCTATTTATTACCAGTACTGTACACTCTGCATGTCAAATTGTTTTGTCATTTCCTATCAAGACCTTTTTTTGTAATATACAAACCATCTAAATTATGTCCCTGCATGTATTGAACTCAAAGCTACTAGTGTATGCACTGGGAGCATTCTTTTGGACCCATTATTAAAAATGCTAAATTAGTGGCACTAAAAAGTCAAAAGGATACTGTAAGAAATGTGATACTCCACAGACACAGACGGCTAATGTGAGGCTGGTTGCCCAGACAACAATCCAAGCCAAGACTGTTAAAGATATAGTATGCACTTACGTTATGTAATAACATAATTATTACGTTATGTAATAATATTTATTGTAAGTGAATGGCTGCTGAATCATTTCAGTAATGTTTTTGGCTTACAGATCCTTTGCGAGTTCCTGCAATCTTTCTGCAAGCTTCAAAAATATTCTCATTTGCTTGTTCACAATCAATGACTAGAAAACCCACCCTCTCAAACCAATGAGCTTGTTTATGAAAAAACTAAAATGGTTTTACTTGATAATGCATCAATGTCGTGTTAAATCAACGCATCGTTTTTTAATACAATTTTTATGAAATTACCTTTTTGATTGCTGAAATGCTTTAATTCGTTTTAACAAATGTTATCCTTATATATTACTATGTGATTATGTGAGTAATTCAAATTATCATAAAACAAAAAGGTGGTTTGTACACTGTGCAGAGTTTCGATGGCATACCACAGTGGGAGGAGCACTATGAGCACCTGCAGAGGAAACACACAGGCGCTTTTCTGCATTATGGACTGCCAGAAAAGGCAAAACTACCATAAATGTTGTTTATTAAAGTGCCATTAGTTATGGTGCTTTTTAATATCCTTTGTCCTTATAGCTGCCAAATACATTCATTAAGGCCGTAAATTGTTTTGCCTGCCACCCTAGAATCTCCATTGAGTAAATGTTTGTGAACTTTCTGTCTAGAATCTGGGCTTATCTTATATTGACTCAAGGGGCCAACGTGTATTTGTGCGATGAGCTTGTTGGGACCTGTGTTATCTTAATTTAAAAATTTAGAAATTAGTAAAGCAAAATGTATTAATTAGTAAAAATTAATAATAACTGTTCTTGCCTGAAAAACACATTGGACTTAAACCATCAAAAACTACCACCTCACCACTGCCGTCTTTACCTTGTTTAACCACAGTATCTCTTCTTTTAAAAGATGTTGCGGTTGCTGAACTGTTCTTTGCTTCACTGCGACTTTGGTGCTTATCTCTTCCATGGTATACCAAAACGGTAGCATGTGGTGTGCAATATAAGCATAAGGATACGCTGAATTTATACAGATGACTAACTTTTGGTCATTACAATATCTCAATGTTTTAGGCTTATCAAATTTTGGCACAAGTGAACGTTCATATAGTGCTGAAAATCGCCGTCCATTATCTGAAGCCCTACAGCGACATGCAGTATGTTGTCAAAATAAAATTAACTTTTAAATGAATCAGTTTGATTTTGTGGAGGGATATTAATCATTTAGATTGATTGATTGAACCATTGGTAAAATAGTTGATAGATTAATCTCTAGCAAAATAGTCATTAGTGGCAACCCTAGTTAAGATGTAAATACTCTGTTTTTATTAGGCCAGAATAGTATTGATAATTAAATTAAGCATGGAAACCAGAAAATGGTTTCTTACCTCTCCGTCAGCATAGAGGGCGCTAACGTCACACAAATGAACAGTCCAATACCCGTATTTAAAGAAATACAATTATCAACTGAGTGATATCTTGGTCAAGACTCTTATGTATTTAATGAATGATTACATCCATGATTGCATGGTATTAATGTATCGATGTCAATGGAGAGCTTCTTAAGGGAGAAAGTGTGTACTTAATTAGCGGAACACGGTCATGAACTGTCACCTTGAATTGTCAGATTTCAGCTGTTCATGGAGCACTTGTACCCTTTACTCTCCACTGTTTGTTCTGCCATAAACATGGCTGCCTTTTGGCTCTTAACTAGTAAAGAATTGATTACTTTTTAAAATCATATAGCATCTCATTTGCATTAAGTGCACCTGGGATGCAGTCAGTGGTACTGCTGGCAGCATGTTGCCATGGTTGCATTCAGCAGCCACACAGGCTGCTCTGTTTCCACAGGTCACTAATGCTAGCACGCCATGCTTCTCCCCCCCCCCCCAGCTGGGAATCCCAATCAGCAACCTGGGGGCACTGCAGAGTGGCCTGGATTCGTCTGTGGCAGCCCTGAGTGGTGTTTCTGCACAGCCCCCCATCATGGGCAATGTGGATCCCTCCAAGATCGATGAGATCAGGAGGACTGTCTATGTGGGCAACCTGAACTCGCAGGTGTGTTACGGCAAGCAGGATGACCTTTCACCCTCAGTTCGTCTGTTGGTTAGTCTATGTGCCAGAATCTGATATATGCTTCACATAAAAATTGTTTTTTTTCCCCGTTTGATACTACAGGCCGCTCCCTACTTATGTAAAACCTCCTTGTGTGAATCCCATCTTGTGTTCTCTCTCCTGCGCTGCAGGTGTAGCACACACAGAGACTCTGCTTTTAGCACGCAAATTCCCCCCGTTCAAAAGTGTGAACACTTCACTAGAATCAATGCTAACAATACTTGTTGCCACAAGTGTAACACGTCTTTTTACATGTAAGGGCATAAACACAAGCAATCTGTGGAAACATCTAGCTGTTTTTGACTGCCTAGCTCGTGGTTTATCTATCATTGCCTCAGGTATGTTATGTATGCTTAGTGGCCTGGAGTCCATACACAGAGTTAATCAAATTATACGAATATGGATTAATGATTAAAAGTAACCATTAGGCAGCTGGTTGTTATGAGTGCCTTCATACATTCAATATGACATGTTCTGAAATTCACAGTTGCAGGTCACGGATTTAGCGATTCAGACAAACTAAGGTTACCACACAGAAAAATAACCGGCAAAGAAAATTTATTCAGCTTTTCACTTGTTCAAAACATTGCTGTTTTTTTATATGTCTTTGCATTTAAATAATCACATTATATAATAGTGATTTGTTCAAAATAATGTTGCATTTTGCAATTCAGTGTTAATTTATGACGTACGTCTGAGAAAATAAAGCAATGTTAATTGTTTTTTTTTCCTCTCAAAAAGTACTGAAGAGTACAGATAAAGTACCATTTTGGTAATAGTAGTACCATTAAAATCTAAATGCCCATTTCTAGGTAAATCTGAGTTGCGTAAATCTTGATTCCTGTAAGGGTTTGTGGACTAGATTGCTTTCTGTACTGATGAACTGTACTTGCATGTTACAGGCTTGTTTTGACCCTGTAATTGATTCCGTAGATACCCCGTGTTAAATGAGCTCTCAACCCCCCCCCCACCAGACCACCACAGCAGAGCAGTTGCTGGAGTATTTCAAGCAAGTAGGAGATGTGAAGTTTGTGCGCATGGCAGGGGATGAGACCCAGCCTACGCGCTTCGCCTTTGTGGAGTTCGCTGACCAGGAGTCTGTGTCAAGGGCCCTTACCTTCAACGGGGTCATGTTCGGCGACCGGCCTTTAAAGTAAGACATCATGTCATGTAGGCTGTGAGACGTCAGCAAAGCAGCGTGGGCTTGGGAGACAAAAAGTGTGGTTGTAAGTGGCAAATGAGCTGACATAATCCCTCATCTGCCACTAAGGAAAATGGCTGATTGTCCACTGCAATCATCTCTGAAATTTTGGTAGTTATTTGTTTAGCTCTGCTGCTGCTAAATTCGAATTGTGATTAAGGTTTAAATACCAGCCGACAATATCGACCAAAACTGATGCATCGGACCACTGCCAGTATCTTGATAAACAACGATTTGTCGATACCGATATATTAACTGATATACTTTCAATGTTATGTCCTCTAAATGACACTCTAAATCACTGTGTGTGCCCTGTGATGGGTGGCATGCTGGCCCGGCCGTCCCCTGCCTTGTCCTATGCTCCTGGGTCACCGCTAGCTGTCTCTCCCCATTGGCTGTCTGCTCCTGGGCCCCCAGCTGGAGCTCTGGCTGCATGTCACTGTAGCTTGTCAGCTTGTCTCCTCTCAGTTCCCACATCTGTCCTATGGCAGAATTAATCATTCCAACAACGCCATCGTCAAGCCCCCAGAGCTGACGCCTCAGGGTGCCGCCAAGGAGCTGGAGGAGGTGATGAAGCGGGTCCGGGAGGCACAGTCGACCATTGCGGCAGCCATTGAGCCGGGAGGTGGGCCTGCACCGCATTCATTGAGCCCCATTAGTGCCCTGGGCCCTTTGCTTTGCTCTTTGACCCAATTCCTCTGTAACTTGTACATGTATGACATCCCTTCATCCTGTGGAAATGACTGTGGAAACAGTTATACTGATAAAATAGGGCAGACAGCGGTTTAGAGTGACGCTTCAGATAAAGTTTTCCTCCCCACATAATGGTTCCTTATCAGATTTTCATTTCACTGGGTCAGTAGCTCAAGTAGGGGATTTTCTTTGGTTTCTTTCTGTTCTGTATCCCCTTTGCCCTCAGTAGTGGTGTGTTTGTGTGTTTGTGTGTGTGTGTGTTTGTGTGTGTGTGTGTGTTTCTTTATCCCCATAATGAGCACTGGCTTTGTTTTGGCTCCCAGATGATTCCGGGAAGAAACGTTCCACTACCAGCTCAAGGAGGTTGAGGAAATCTCGGAGTCGCTCGCGCTCCCGTTCCCAGTCACGGAGAAAAAGGTCCTGCTCTAGGCACAGGTACAGCTTGGAGACCTTACCGACAGTTTGTCGAGGTCTCAGCCTATAATGAGCTGCCTGCTTGTCCCTTGCAGGAGCCGTCCCTCCACAAAGTCAAGGTCAAAGGTCGGCGAGTCCCACGGCTCTCGGGCTTCACACAAGAAGCGCTCGCGGTCCAGGGACCGGAGGCATTCACGCAGCCGTTCACGGTCCAGGTGAAACCCTGTCTGGAACCAGAGCATTTCCAGCATGCGGCGGGTCATGTGTGACATTCCTGTGTGCTGCACGCAGGGGCAGGAGGAAGGAGAAGGAAGGGAAAACACGGGCCAAAGAGGAGAGCTCCCGGGACAAGGAGGACAGGAAGCCCAAGGACAAGAAGGGCAAGACGCCCCCCAAGAGCTACAGCGCCTCCCACAGGTCGCGCAGCACAAGCAGGTGGGCGCGCCCTCAGCAGGTCATGGCTTGCTTGCACACGCATATCCTGGCAGTGTGATAAATAAGGCTGGGGTCAAGTGACCTCCATCTTAAAAGGAAGTTCTGACATGTTGGATGAATCTGAATACCAAGAAAGCAAAGACCATTGTGGTCTTCTAGCAAGACTGGTCTTGTGAACTTGCCTTCCACGAACAAACATGGGGTGCATTAAATCATGGGATTGGTCTTGTTTGGCGACAACACAAGTACGCATATTGAGATTCACCCTTTGTCAACGCAGCCCCTGAAGTAAAGTTGAGAATGGGGTGGAGGGGTGTCCTTTCTGGCCTTTTCTACAGTGGGTAACATGATCAGCAAACACGTAAACAGCTGCATTGTGTTTTTACAGTTAGTTTGGCTTCACAGCGATGACCTCTGGAATGTTTCCTGTCAGGATTTCCTCATTCCAGCCCTGATTTTTGTTTTTCTCCTTTAGAGGTCATCGGAGGAGGAGCCGGAGCCGGTCAAAGACGCCCAGGAGAAAGATGAAATCCCCATCCCCAAAGAGGTACTGTGGAAAACAGCAATTGCTGTTCCCCTACCTGTGCTTTAGTCCTCTGTGGCTGCTTCAACTGTCATGGTGAAATGGGTTCCACACCCTCCTGACCATCCTCTCTAATCTTTGTTCTCCAGGGGCAAGAAGGACAAGAAACGCGATAAAGTGAGGGATAGCAGCCGTGAGCGGGATAGGTGGAGGAGGAGCGGGCGGGATGAGGAGAAGGCGGAGCGCAGGTCCAAAGGCGGGAAGGTGAGGGCGGCTGCTGTGTGCCGGGGCCTCCTCGCCCAGCATGTGAGTGTCAGATGGTTTTCAGGTCAATCCTCCTATCTGATTGAGCCAGAATCTGATATGTGCTTCACAGTAGCCCGCTGAGTATTTGATGTGCGTCTATAGTGTTTGCTGGGTTTTTTGGCCCAGTTTAAGCAAGAAACACCTCAATCTCTCAGATCTCGTGGTTGACATGACATATCTCTGCACTATGGAGGTTTGAAATGCCTTTGGGTGGGAGGCGGAGTTCCAGGGTACGCTGCTGAGGTAATATGGAGCGTGTGCCCGGCATTCTGCCTGTCAGGCTTCTTGGCAGCAACCCTTCAGAACCAAGTGTCCCATTTAATTTATGTAACCGATTAAAAGATGGCGGTTATCATCATGTTTTTATGTGGTTAGTGACGGTGTTTTGTCTCTGACATTACATAAAGTCCAGAAGGAAATTGTTCTCCCTGTTTTATGCTGTGGCTGTCCAATGTGCTGATTTGGGTGGGTCGCAGGTGTTTACACCCGTTACCATTAAAATCTCCAGGAATGCCTTGTCCAGCCTGCGGTGTCTGTTTACGGTCGTTTTCTTATCCATTTACACATCGCAAAAGTTACACGCAATCTGCCATTCCAGCAGCTTACTGGCATGTTATAGGATGCCAACCTATGTGCTTGTTTATGGTACTTTTTTTTTTTTTCTTTTTCTTTTTAATGAAGTTGGGGGCAAATTAGGATCATGCATAGCTTACGTTAGTGTTTCTCACATGGTTTACATCTTTGCTCCAGAGGTTTCGATAATGTCGCTCTGAGGGGTTTTTGCTCAGTCCACAGGAGTATGGCATCAGGCCTCTGAAGAGGTTAAATCCAACTCTGCTGTGTAAAGGGGGCCCAGGTGGGAAACACAATTGACTTATGCATACGTGGCCATTTCAGGCGGAGAGGGATTCAGACAAGGAAAAGACATATGAGAGTGAGCGGGAGGGTTCGGTGCCTGCTGGCGAGGAGTCGGCCCCCCAGCTCCAGCACAACGGCAGCTACAGCAAGCATGGCGAGGACACTGCCTGCACCGCTGTCGATGACCAGTGAGGGCACCGCTGAGCCCATCCACCCACTTCCTCCTGCCCCCCACTTCCCGCCTCTTGTAGGTCCTGCAGCCAATGTGATCTTCACCAAACCAAACAGACTGTAGCTGTTTGCCCCCCCTCCTGTGAATCCATTTGTCACACAACACATACAGAAAATGGATGAACCCGTCGCACTCTCCTTCACACTAATAGTACCTTCATTTCAGTACCAGCTATATTAAATGCGTGGATTCTTGTTCCGCTTTCTCATTTTTTCCCCCCCCCACATGAAAGTTGTTTTCAGTTGTCAAGGTTGGATGTCCTGTTTTTAAGAACAAAAAATTCCCTTGTTTGTAAAAAATGCTGATTCCCCCTATTGTGAAATAGGTCAGCAGACCTCAGCTTGTTTTAAAGAGGCAGAGTTCCCGCATGGCGGGGGAATGGCGTATGGAGGGGCTCCAGAGCAGCTCGGCTCATCTGTGGAGACCCCCCATACCCCCCATCCCAATGCCAAATTCAATCACATGTGTCCTGCAATGTCAGAAGCAGCCCGCACTGTACTTTTGGCACATTTTTCGTAAGCCCCCGTCAGCTGAAAAGAACAAAGGTCTGCAAGCACAGCAACACAAGTGCCTCCGCTGGAAGACAAAGGGGCGTCCTGGACGAGCAGCAGACTGCTTCAGTGGTGTGAGCACGCAAAAGGGGAACTGAACACACAGCCCTGGCTGGTCACAGAGGTGTAGAGACGCCTCTTCGTGCTCTGCAGTTTTATAAGGCATCTCACAGAGCCTTGCCCGTTTTAACCGAGGTTTTAAACCCAGAAGTTTAAACGTTTTACTTTTTAAAGCAGTATTTTGTTTCCGCCAATAGCCACAAGCACCCTTGTATGTCTAGGAACTGATATGTGTTGTACAAAAGACTTTTCAGCTATAGGTTTTGTATTTCATTTTCTATTCCCCTAAGATGATGGATTTCCCAGTGTGTGTTTGAGTCTGAATTCGGTCTGTTGGAAGAAATGACTTACTCAGGACAGCAATGTTATTACAGGCGTGACACATTTTGAAGTGTGTTAAAAATATATCATTTTTAACTGTGTGGAGAGTCAGTGTGGACTTCCTCGATTGTACACCATTTGTATACTTCTAAAGTTTCTTTAGAGGGTAACTTTTTTTTTTTTTGATAAAGTGGCAATTCTTTTGCATCAAGTTTCAGAGTTTTGCTTTGTATTTTGTGCTTTGAGTAATTTAAATTTGATTAATGGTAGACTGATCACCACAATTTGTAATATTGAAAAAAGGTCTGCTTGTATTTGCGGCTTAAATTTAGTGTATGCTGGTACGTTGTTGCAAAGTGTATTTTTTCTAACCCCTAGTGCAGCTCTTTGGCTTATCTGGGTACTGGATGGATGTGTGTAGTCTTCACAAAGAGAGATATTCACTGTATATTTGCCAAGATGGTCTCATTGGTGATGGGTAACGGTTCGATGTTTTGAAAAAAGTTGTCCCTGATTTACTCTTCCCGTTTGATAGTAAAATGGCTGTTTACATTCTGACGTTTCCGCTGCCAGCATCTGACAGGAGGTCAGTGACCATGAATGCAATCATGTTTAATAACCAGGGTGGTGGGGGGGGTCATTTCAGTTTCCTTTTCATTCTGGATCCCATGTTAACTGTAAATAATTGCCTCATTGTCATGAACTTGTAACAGTTGTGATTGTGATTAAAACGGGCATCTCTTCCATACTGCCTCTGTTTCTCCCCACCACTGTCTTTCTGCTCCAGGAACAGCTTTTCTCAAATTCCAGCGGCCTCAATGTGACAGCCTCAAAATTACAGTGAAAAGGACATGATCAACCATGCGACAGCAGGGTGGTATTTTTACGAAGCAGGATTTATTGCTTAGCCAGATAACTTGTCACACTGAAGGTAGTCCGAGCCACATTTAAGTGGACGAAGATATAGGCCATTTAACCCGGACTACCTTAAATCCAACAAGTTATCTGGCTAAGCAAGAAATCTTGCTTTGTGAAATTCCCCCCAGGATTGATTCCCAAAACACCATGTATATGTGTATATACAGAATATTGTATTGCTCAGAGAATTACAGAAATGCTTGTTTTTTTTTCCTTTCAAAATATGACCACTCCTCTTTGTAATACAGTGTGTATTTGGAGACCACTACAATGTGGCCTTATATGTAAATAAAACTGAATTCCCCAAACTCCATCACTGAGAACAGTGGGTAGAGGACTGGTCTATGCACATTTACCCAGATTCAGTTCATTATCAAGTGACCTGGATTTATATGTAAATGCCAGAGAAATACAGACCTGTGTTTGCAAGGTTAGTATGTCAAGTTAAAAACTTCACAAACAATACTGCTGAATTGCTAGGAAACAGTCCAGTGATTGAGCCCTCTTGATGCAGACCCAATTAATCGCACACTGCTCTCATTAACGTCCTGTCCTGCAGTGAAGGGTCCAGTTTGGGAGAAACATTTCACATTGAAATGTCACAAAGTCTCCACCCAGGGTAGCTGGCTGCAGGTCATAGGTGGGCCATGTCACCTTCACAGGATGGAGATCTCAACCTTGTCACTGCTCTCATGGTACCACATGATGCTTAAGCAGATGGCCTGCTGGATATAGTCATGGTCCGGTTTGGTGTGACAAGCGCCTCCTGGCTTGCCGACTGGAGACGCACCATCCAGCACCGATTGGGTTGTCATCTGCTGGAAGAGCTCCATGGTGGTGTAGTCACCAGGGCAGGGCTGTGCGGGCCGGGCGGATGGCGGCGTGGCTGCAGGAGACTCAATGTCCCCACTGGCAGCCTGGCCCTCCTCTTCTGCTGCACCTGGTCCGGCCATCTCCTCTGCCATGAGTGGGCTTCTGCAGCTGGGCTGGGGGCTCGCCTCGTGCTCGATGATATGCAGGCTGCTCATGTTGCTCTCCTTCACATGGGCCAGCCGGCCATGTCCCATGGACTCCAGGATGTCCTGTGGGTCCCGGCAGCAGAGGGTCACGTTCAGTATGTAAATGTTCTAGGTCTCTGTGTGGCTCTGGGTTAGTAACTTGTGCCTGTGATCAGAAAGTCGCTGGTTCAACTCCCAGGCTCAGCAGAACAATTTTGCTGTCCTTAAGCGGTGCCCTTAATCCCCAGTTGCACCAGTCACTGTCTGACCGTGCATTCTCAAAAATATACGTCACTCTTGATAAAAACTAAATAAATGATGTGAGAGGGTCATGGCCTGCGTTGTTTGGTCCCGGGATCTAACCTGTCATTCCCGGTGAATGAGATTGCGGGGTCCAGTGTAACAATGGAACAATTTCGGAACTGTCAGGGAATTAACAACCGGTACACATCCTCTGTATAAAGCAATACACATGATAATTTCTTGTTGAAACGGCGCAAATGAGTACTGCCGGGAATGACAGGATCACATGGTGCATGACGACCTTCCACAACCTACCTAGCTAAGAGAATTTTGCATCTGTGTTTAGGCTTTGCTGATTTTTAGCAATGATGCAGTTACACAGCACATGTGAGCTTTCATAAAGGCGAACTTAAGTCAAACACTCAGCGGATTTAGCACATAATTATGGTTCAACCCATAAAAGTACCCATTGCGGTATGAGAGAAGGTCCAGGCTATGTCTGAGGCACCCAGATGTGTGCTTGTCAGGTGAGGTCACCAAAATAACCTGAACAGCAACATCTGTGTAAAAATAGAAAGCGAGTTGGTGGCCAGACACTGGTTTCCTGGAACATACTCCAGGGTGGGGGTGGGGGGGTGACTTTTTCTGTCATTGAAGCAAACTTCAAACGTTACCAACAGCATTTGAAACTGAAGGGGAAATTATGGGCATAAACTTGAGTGTTTCTGGTATCAGTACTTACAAGACTGTGTGCGCCATCTATTTTCTGGACTGCATTGCTGTTGCCGGGGTTTGGTATACTGGGCCAGAAAACAACCTTCACCCTAAAAACAGCCATTTATTAACACACATACACACACACACACACATATATATAAACTTACTGTCATTAAAGATAATTAAATGCACCACTACATGGAACTTTCCAAAAATAACTCCAACATTGAAACAATTTAGATGACTGACATGTCTGCTAAACAAACAAAACTAATGAATACTATTCAAATGTAAGTGTACCTTTTAAACAATCTGGAGAAAACAGGCACGCAGAGAAACAGCAGTACCACTGTAATAAGTCCTGCAAGTCTGTCTGCACTCAGATCTGAAGGGGTGACAGACTCCATTTCAGCCCTGTGTGGTGCGTAAACTGTCTGTTTTTAATTGCAGTTACTTCATGTATCATGGTCGAAATTACAGCATTTATGGCAAACGCCAGCATATACACAGACGTGGAAAAAATTAAGAGACCACTGAATTTTTAAACAAATCTGCATATTTTAATCTTGGTTTAATTGTGGTTCTGCAGGGAGAGGGCTACACTGCGAGGCAGCCTGCTTCCTGACTCAAAGTTTCTAGGACCGCAGTACAAGCAGAAGGCACTGGGAATGACCAAAGACAAGCCAGCTAGAGGGCGGAAGCAACATTATAATGCCAGAGATGACAGTTAACTTGTCTAACAGTTTCTCATGAATTGTAGGATGACATCAAATGACCTTTTCCCAAAAGAAATGGGAAACATTAAGTGCAGGTGTGAAGTGCACTGCTAGGACAGTATGTATCAGGCTCCTAGAAGCAGGACTGAAGACATATAAAGCAAGAAAGAAGCGCTTCATTAATGAGAAACAGAGAGGAACCAGGTTGCAATTTACAAAAAATATATATTATTCACAGATGCACACCCATAAACAGAGAAATGAGTGGTCTTTTAATTTTTCCGACGGCTGCATGTAGTGCATTTGTTTAAATGGACTGTCTAGATAAATGCCTCCAAATACACTTAAGTTATGAATCACAATGGAGAATAACTTTATAGGGTTACCGGGTGGCTTGGTTTTAAAGTAGACGGGATCGCTCTGGACACCCTCCCCAGCTGCGGTGAAGACCGACATCCGTAGCATGTAAACCGTCTGCTGCTTGAGGCCAGACAGCACATGGGAGTGCTCTGTGTGCCCCACCTGGACAACTGATAGATAACAGACACAGAAGCATTTCATAGACATTAGGTGTTGTGACAGGTGCCTCTACGCCCAACTAAATAAGTAGCTAATGAGCACAGTCTGAAGATCGTAGCTAGCTAACTGGTTGGCAGAACATGCTGCTTCAGCATCTCCTACATACAGAACATGTTCTTATGTTCTTATATTTATTTATTATTCACTGTAGTGACTGTTTGGAAGAAGCAGAGGGCCTGGCACCAATGTGTGGTCTGCACACAGCATACTGAAAGAGCTTTAATCACATACAGATGTCATATGACGGACGGCTCCCAAAGACTTAAGGCTAGGATCACACTACACGTCTTTCAAAGTCGTCAGATTGCAATGGCGTTGCTATACACTACACAATTTGTCATTTTGTAATTGGGAATCTTGAAGTCATGGTGGTTTACACACTACATGAACGATTAGTGACAGGAGGTTGCACCCTACAAGATCTTTCACCAGGAGAAATCACTGATGAGACTGTCAGGTCTCCAAACTATGTTTTGTTACAAAATCACACATGAGAATGACACAGGGAAATGAATTGTTAATTGTTGTGAATTGTTAAAACATTGTAATCAAATGACAACACACTCTTGATATTTACAAACGTGGCAAATTAATCCTTGTATACATGGACGTTTCAGGAAATAGTATCTTTAGGTCAGTATCCCTAAACACTAAGAAGTGTTTCTAAACAAATTGAATGTTTCACACCTTTTTAAACTCCTCCCTCGGGTTTCACCTCACCATATGTCTTAAGCTGTAATTTGTCGCTACATGCACTGCCAGTTACTCTCATTGGCTGTAGCTTGTTGTCGTGCTCATTGCCAGCCGCAACACTTTTCACACTACCGGATTTGAAGTCACCGACAGGTCCAGATTTTTAGCCTATTTACTAATGTAAATTGCTTTACCAAGTTCTGCGAGGTATGAGAGGGGAAAGTACTGCTGCCATACAGGCTGAATGGTAGAAGCCCAACTCTGGGGCCAAATGCTCGACTGCTGTACCTATGGACTGGTTTTCCTGCTTGTTTTCGCTGTAGTAGATTCGGTAGCCGAGCAGAAAGCCCCGGAGGTCCTCTTCTGCGATGGGACTCCACTGCACGACCAGGGAGCTGCTTGTTGCGTTTAAACTTGTGATGTTCGCTGGGGCACTCACAGGAGCTGCAGTGCAGCGAGACACAATTCTATACTTGGCAACAAGAATATTATTGTCCAGGAAAGAAAACAAAAAAGCAGTTGGCAGCTGACACCAAGATCTGATCAAAGACGTGTCAAACCGAAATTATCCCTGTCCCCATGTCAGTTCGCACCAAAACTGCACAGCCATGACCGCATGGACTTAAACTTCAGTTCACATATTTTGTCAAAAACATCTACACAGGACACTATAGATATGATTTAACGAGATAGTGTTGGTAAAACTCACTTCCTTCCAAAGCGTACTGCTGAGTCCTGCCGTACGTGGCCTCACTGTTGTTGACATGCTTCAGGTTGCAAGTGTTTTTGTCTGGCCTCGCATTGAGGAGGAAAAAGTACTTCTTGTATGGTTGCAGAGGGGCTAAAAAAGGACATTAAATGCAACTTAATTAAATGTAATTAAATCATTTCTCTGTTCCCTAAAAACGGCACATTTATGTCACACACACTGTTTGTTTTTCATGTTTTGACTGTTTCTGGTGATGTTTCGGTAAAACAGATGACAGGCACATTCCCTGGCACGATTTCAAAGCTCCCTGCAACATAACATCATTTCATAGACTTCCCTCTGGCAGCATTATCTGCCAATCAGCACTTCAGTGGATTCTGCATCCTGCCCCTCAGTAACCGCACATGACCACTATGAGCTAGTGTCAGAACAGGACAATGTCCAAGCGACCAAAAACAGATGTATTCGAAAGTAAGGAATAATTGCTGTGAGTGTTACGTTTCCATGCTCCCCGGGGACTAGCTAGAATGGGTGATATACAACATCCGTGACATTGCTGCCCTGTTACCTTCATGCTAATGTCAGTGAACACAGAAAGTACCTTTCAGGGTAATTTCCTTGTGGCGTCCCTTCTTCAGGTAAAAAGACTTCCAGGACGGTTTCTCTCCCATCAGCCACCAGTCCACGGAAAAGCAGTGGTACGTAGGGCTGAGGTCGATATCCCAGGCGACGACAAAGCTCATGTTGCCATTGAAAGTAATGTTCAGTGTCCCGAAAAAACCTAAAAAAAGGAAATGTTTTTTTCAATCAAAATGTGCTACATAGAAAACTAGGGCTGTGTGATATGACCAAAATATCATATTCTGATGTCATTTCATATCGCAATAACGATACATATCACGATATAGCACATTTTATGTAAGTTCAATGAACACAGTTTACATAAAACAACCACATGGAAAGGCCTATTTCTTATTACATTTTGAATTATATACTAAACAAATAAAAGGTTTTTACTGATATTAGATTATTTTCCCCCCTTTTTTAGAACCTTTGTGCAAATTTTCAATTAAGCATCTAACAAAATATAAAATGTATAATGTATAAAAAAGTAAACAGTAAACACGTTTCAGGTTCCCGGTGTTTGAGGCTGTTGCAGGGACTGGTTTGTACCATCATTAGGCTTATACTTTACAGCACATTTTACAATGTTGCCCCATTTGAATCACTTCTTTTCACAACATTTTCATGACCCAACCTGATCCCTTTAATATTTTTCTTAATATCAGGTTCATTTTACGGATTCCTTGTGAGCAATCACAATATCACAATATCCTGATTTTGGATTCTTTGTGTTATCTGTCTGCTTAATAAAAGTTCTGCATAGCACCTGCAATTGTGTCTGAGGGTGTTTGCTGGCCTCGTTTGGTTACCCCAGTCACGGTGAGGTGATCATGTATGTCCCTGATGGCTGCCACTAATATGCTGCAGTAAAGTCAGTAAATTATGCCACCAGGACAAAGAGCTTGTCCATTATTTTCAGATTCTGCTGATTTGGAGTGATATGACTGCAAAAAATGCAAAATATGCCAAACTTCATAATTCAATTCAAAGTGAACCAAAGGTATAAGTACTAAAACATCAGGTCACTGGATATCAGCAATTGCAACTGATGGAAATATAAACTAATATTTCAGATATGGGATATTTAGCTAAAAGTGTTGATCCAAAAACTGAAAACGACTGGAGTGAAAACTCAAAATGACAAGCAAAGAAAATGGATTTTTTCAGTAAGTGGAATCATTAACCCCAGTTCTCATTAAATAATAAAGTGACCACTGCAGTTTGTTGTAAATATAGTTCGCTGTAAAATGGCAAGACAAACAGATTGGCAGAACGTGAAAGGCACAAATCAGATAGGTGGTACGGATTGGGTAATGACATCCCCTTAGTCCAAATGACTTAAAATATTACCCAAAAGATTATGACATATGACACAATATAAATGATAGAGCATAATATGAAACAATCAAAAGTTTTCTATCGTCATATGATATATATCGCCATATCGTGCAACCCTACACCAAACCTTAGTCACCAACTTTATCTTATAAAATTTTAATATCTATATAAGCCATTCAAGTTGAAAGACCCAGACATTACTATGAAACAGACAAAAATAAGACTCTCAGCTTAAAATGGGGAAAAAAAAACAAATTACAAAATAAACCTATGTATACCTAAGTAACCATGAGTATTGATTAGCTAAGAAAGACCTAAGATATCTTTTCAGATCACAAATGAATCTTCATTAAACTTCTTAGTAATTTATAAATGTATATAGCTAATATTAACTTGTATACATTACATTTTATTTATTTAGCAGACGCTTTTTATCCAAATGACGTAAATTTTTTTGAAAAAGCAAAAAGTCGCAATTGGGGTTAAAGCCCCAATGATCAAAAGAATGCCCTTCCAATCACAAGCACAGTGTCCCAACATGACAAACCACTCACTGCCACCACCAAAAATAATCAATGATTGGTTTGTAAAGAAAATCAGCTGACAACCTGCTAGGTGCTAAACATGATACATGGTATCCTGAGTGTCTGGCGTTAGGTAGCCGCAGAGAAGGCCTCTATACCAGCATCATCTGCAGTCTGCACGGAAGTTGTCACGGGGGGGGAAGCCCCCGCTTGGTTGAAGGCCACGATGCTGATGACATAGGCTGAGTCTGAGAGAAGGAGCCTCAGCGAAGACTCTGAAGTGAATAACACCTGCTGGAACTCTCTGGATTCCTTTGCCACCGTCACGTTGTAACCGTCCGCTGAATGGTACCCCTCAAGCTGTAGGAATGACATGGTGGCGTCGAGTTCATCTCATGGGATCATGAGTTGACTTATCAGCTCGCTGAATGAATCAAAGCTGCAATATGGTTACATGGGGTGCTGCAACAAAGTGGTCAACATGCCCGTCCCAACATTCTTGAAACGTGTTGCTGGCATCAAATTTAAATTGAGCCTATTATATGTGTCATAAAGCAATAAAATTTCTCAGTTTCAAGATTTGATATGCTGTGTTTGTTCTATTCTCAATTAGATATGGGTTTATATTTTTTGTAAATCATTGCATTCTGTTTTTATTTACATTTTACACAGCGTCCTAACTTTTTTGGAAAGGGGATTGTAAGGGTTACTCGCAGATGTGGGATGGGGCTTAACACTGACCCAGCTCCGCCCCATTTCTGCTTCTCCTTCTGCTTCCCGTTTATGGTGTCAACCTCCACTGAACGATGAGGGTCAAGCCCTCCAGAAAACCCAGAGCACAAAAACTGCCGACTGTTGACGCTCGTTCACAGTTACCCAGTAGAGCACCTCAGCTACAAACTAATTTTATCCAGAAAAGTACTGAAGTACAGTTCAGATAGTCACCTTCCAGTGTATGATGATCAGTCTTTTCCCCTTTTCATATGGGCTGACTTCTAAGTTGTTGACTGTTGGATTATCTGTCAACTCTGTAAAAACAACATACAATGGACAAAAATATATGATCGATTACTTGCTCTTCATAAAGGCATTTTTGCTTGCTATATCTCTGAAATGGTACATTGTGATAACCAATTTCTTTTTGTTTTTGGTGAAATATTATACTCCAATGTTATTCAGAACCTAACATCATATGAAATTGATGAAATTCGGAAGAGCTTGCCTGGTGGCACAGTGATGATTTGACTCCATGGACATTGACTGCACTGGTCACTGGTGACACACTGCACTTGTATCTCGTAGGACTTTGATGACGTAAGATTTGCTGCAATGCTGTTCACCCCTTTAGATACTGGTTGCAGCTGCAGGAGGTACATTGAAAAAACACAGTAACAATGAAAAAAAACACGAATCCCTAACATTTTCTGTCTCCAGTATGAGACTAAGAACATTGTTGCTTTGTTTGTTTCTGTGGGAAAACTGGGTAGTTTTCACGTATCCCATCTTTCTCACCATGCCACAAAGACTACTAAAGAGGCAGAATCAGCGTCACAAGCTTGCTTGCATGTTTATACTTCACAGAGTGATATACCAACGTAGCATACACCGCAATGTACCGTACCATTCTCCAGAATTTGCCACCCATCTCCCTGATTCGTACAACATAATCCTTAACATGAGCTTCCTCCCAGGACGGCGTTATGTCCAACTGCCTTGAATATCGTTTAAAGTCGATATTGTTTCTGGGATGGCACCGACCTTGAAGTTGTCGATATAAAAGAAAAAACATTTTTTTTTTTTACATTTTGAAAAAAAAACTTTGTTAATCATCAGTCAAAGATAATATCTTTAGTTAAATCAATCAATCCAGCTTTCCTGATAGTTTACTGAGATCAGATTTGCACATTAATTCTTATCTCTACTTACGATGTTATATCAGCACTAAAAAGTAGGACAACACTTAAAATTAAAAAAAAATGTTCTAGCACATACAAATGAAACAAAGCTATGTAATTGTTACAGGTAAATTATTTAAAGTATGTTAAATTAAACAATTTATTTAGTACATTATTTAATTATGCTTGCCTTGAAAAACTTACTCAGATTTTGTGGTATTCCACTGAAAGTTGTCATAGTACAATTCATCTCAATATGACTTGCATCAATAACACAAGCGTTCAGCTTATCGGCCTTATATACCACAAAGTCGATGAATGTATTTGATGTGTTTTGGTGGTTTGGACGGTATGGACCCAATTTCCGTGACCGTGAAATAGACAAAAAAAAATAAAAATTAAAGCATTATTTATTCAGTTGACAAAAATTACAAATTAATTTTTAGTGAAACGAACATGCCTGACAAATTCTAATTTGAAAGAAACAGCTACGAAAGTATGAACATTTCCAGAGAATAATTTATAAACTTACTGTTCATGGATAAATGTATATATTGCATTTCTTGAAGACCATCTCCCTGACTTCCAGGTACATTTCATCCTGCTCTTCCAAATCCAGAAACAATCCAAATCATGCACACCATCTAAAAGACACAAATTCATTAACCATAAATAGCAGCTACTGTCTTAAGAGAGCTTTACTGGTAAAGGAATTATTTTTCTGAAAAATACACATAGTTAGTCAGAATATAAATATCATTTCTGATAAATAATTATTAGTTTTATATACTTTTGGAGTTTCATCCATTTATGTAGTTAAATCGTCTACCAGAAAAAAATGGCACAAAACTACATATCTATCCGTCAATAACTGCCATTAACTCTTATGTAACAGTTCGATTTGTTCCAAAACTAAAGCAAAAGTTTAATATTATATTATTCTTCCTGTTCACCATGACAGACTGTCTGCGCTAATCAGTAACAGACAAGACAAGTATCACTAATGCCGAAGAGCACAGCTGCATGTTGACACACAGCATGAAAGCGGCGAATAACCAGCCAGACCGTTTGTGGGATGGATCTGAAATGACTCCTGACATAAAGTTATTTCCAGGCCTACAGCAAATCCTCATTACGGCTCTGTACCCTGTGAGAAACCGGGGTCTGACCCATATAACGAATAATAATAAATTACTGAAGCCCTGAATGAAAGTGAATGAGCCCCGAATCATTTGTTTAGCTCTGATGTTTTAGCGATCGTGCTCATGCCCTCGGACAGATTCTCAGGTCTCTGAGCTAAAGCCCTGGTAACGCCCCTGCTGGAAACAAAATCTGTTTCGATTTTTTTTTTTTTTTTAACACTGCATCCACACCACTACAGCGTATCAGATATTATATCAATAAGTACAACCACAATGATATTACAGAAATTATTGCAGTAGTGGCTGCCATCACTTTTCTGTGGCTGCGTAAGAAAATACAGAGATAAGAGTTCACCTGGAGATGAATGGCAGTGCTCATAACTGGAACATGATTTTCTGTTGACTGGGGGAAAAAAAACATATAGGTTACTGTTTGTCAGGGTCTGTCCATCCATATAAACCAAAAGCTCCTAATTGTGGTAAACTGAGATCACCTCTTAAAAGTTGCAAGCCTTTGTCAGCAAAAATCCATCTGATTCATTTTCCAATGTTTAATTTTATTAATTTAACATCTTGGGAGGGTAGCAGAGACCCTTACATTAAGCATCCTCACAGATCTCCACATGTAACATGCAGGGGGCCTGATTCAAGGGGCCAGCACTTTATTGTGGGGGTTACCATGAGACTCCTGTTCTACATTTGTAGGAAACATTTTCTCAGGGGGCCCAGAATTTCTAACCTTGCTGCTGGTAACAGACACCTGGACACGCAAGGCGTCGATGTGTGACAGTGAATTCATGTGCAAGAATTGCAGCGCCGCTCGAGACCGGCTCGCAAGATATTCACACCTCGGCTATTTTTGGAGGATCTCTGTGTCTCCCACCGCACAATCACACCTCCAACTTGCCTCTGAGTTTACTATGCAGTCAAAATTAAATAAACAAATGTGAAATAAAAATAGTGTATCTATGGTGTATATTTGTTAAGGTGTAAAGGTATATATTTGTCTCACTTTATTACAGAATAATTTTTAACCATTTCAAAACATACCATGCCATAGAGAACTAGTTAGACTATTCGTAAAGTAAACTTTGAAAATGATCACAGATTAAGTCATTTGAGGATCAATAATTTTCAAATATATGCTGATTTTTGTTCCATTAAGTCAGTTAATTAAACGTAATTAATCTGAAATTAAGCAGAAATTTCGCCCGACATAAATCCTTGTATCTGAGATGAAACTATTTTACCATGGACAAGGTTACCACTAAAATGGTCATTTTACATTACAATAAGGATGCTTTAAAACATAAAGAAGTAAAATACCGCCATAAGCCATTGTGTTAACAGTGGAAAACCAGCAACACCCAGACAGGCAGCCTATAAAGTAAAGAGAAAAGTGGCAGTCATATACAAAGATGTCAATTGCTAAAATCGAAAAATCGTGTTTTTACTAACCACGAAAAACTAGAAAGCAACGTTTTACGTTTTATGTTACGCTTTTTCAGTCCTTTTTTTTCAAACAAAATACGTAAACCTTCATAAGCGAAGCAGCCGCTGTGCAGTATTAGCTCAACTTTTCCAGCGCCGTTCAATGTTCAGACACATGCCCGTATTTTAGCTTCGCGCACGTTATAATTGTACAGCGCCAGAAGAGGATGATGTCTGGAGACATAACTTATGTCTAGCAAAATTAAGACTCACAAATGACGACGAAAAAGACGGACTGGTGAAATTCTTCATGGTTTCGTAGCCTCCTGTTTCTGCATAGCACCGTGGTCGCGCCAGCCATAGTACCTCATCGGGATGGTTTGCCGAAAGGGTGCAGAACTGGTGAGGGATGAGCAAAGATAGACGACAGGACATCATACATAGCGCGTGCTCTCACGCTCGCTCGCGCGCACACACACACACACACACACACACACACACACACACACAAAAAAGATATACATGCATACAGATAAAGACTCAATATCACAGACAGAGATAAACTGACAGGTACCCACATAGACTACATAGGCCTACCGTAGAGAGATAAGCACACACAGACGCGCGCGCGCAAACAGACAGAAATACAGAGACTGACACACATAGACTTCCGCGCAAGGACGCGGGTTGGCCGGTGAACGGATAGAGGCTGCGCGCGCTGGGGACCAGTTCGCGTGGGTTAGCAGTTTGGCTCCGACTGCCTCCGTGTCTTCATACGTCCGCGTTTCTGCTCTCACCGAGGATCCGTTCGGCAAGCGTTTGATAAATGGAGTTTAGCTACTTTCATAGTTTTTGCGCTTTCTTTGTGTTCTCTCTTTGTGTTTACCACACTTCTGGCCACGGTATAAAGCAGAATTTAGAGAAATGCCAAAATATGTCTGATTTTACGGCCACATTACGGTATAGAGGTTTTCTATTACTAATTCGAGTCAGTTGCAGAAACACATAAAATTTTCAAAACGAGCCAGCAAGTCGAACACTGGTGCGAAAAATAAGCAAAGTCAAATTGCTAAAACTGTCAAATCATATATGGTCTGCGTTTTAGCGAGTTAACAGTGCATGAGGGAGTGCACATCTCTCCATTTTTTTGGTTTCTCTGAATACTTTAGCGTAGGCCATCATATTTTAAGACGTTAGGCATATCCCATAACTTAGGACTACTTTGCATGGGTTGACAGTTTGGTTAAATATACCTTGGTTGAAAAGTTGAATTTAACATTTAATAGCTGAAATGCATGCATATAAACGATATATTGCCTTTCTGTAACGGAACTGAATAGGTTCCTAAACTACTAGGCCTAATTGGAAAACAAAAATGAACTTGAAGAAAAGCTGCAACTGGAGCGCCGCTTTCCTCAATTTTATGTACGGTATTAATTTTAATAAAGCAAATAGCCAAAACAGTTTGAGACGTTATACACAGAAGCAGACTTCTATATCCCCATGTGGGTAATGTGGTTTACTGGCTAAAAACTATGGGCGTAAATTATGGGGTGGGGGGTTGTAACCCCTACCCCCCATAATAAAAACCAGGTACCTCTAGAGCAGTTGTTCCGAAACTTTTTCCAGCCGCGTACCCCCTGCTACCAACGACTCTTAATTAGTGTCTATAAATAGATTGCAATACCGCATGCATAAAAATAAATACTGAACAGTCGATTATTTCTCACCACCAAATGAATTTATTAATATATTTTAGTAATAGATTGTTGCTATCCGGTGGGAGAATTTCACAGTAGGGATGGGCACGGGAAAGGTTTTTGGTTCCCGTCCCATCCCATTCCCGTTGGAGGGTTTCCGTTCCCGTCCAATTTAACCGCCAAATTTTCAAAACCCATTCCCGTCCCGTTCAGTCCCGTGGGATGTCATTCCCGTACCGTTCCATTCCCGTCAAATTTCAAAAAATCTTCTACCGTTCCCGTGTTTTTCATATATTTCCGTTACCGCTTGTTTTCCGCGACCAGAGTGGCAGATATTTTTGACTAGGGTCCTGGGAAAGTTGCACCACCATCATACTGGTGCATGCCACGGCGGAATCTCAGAATAGAAAAATACGCAGGACTTTATTTAATGTGCGGTTAGACGCTGTTAAAGACAGTTAAGTTATCTGTGACAAAGCTCTCCATGCAGTGAGTGTCATGCCCCGATCGTCCGCTCCTTCCGTGTGCCACGCCCCTTCGTTAACCCTGTGTGGATTCCCCGTATTTACCAGCTGTTCCTGATTGTTGTCAAACTTGTCATTAGTCCATTGTATTTAGTCCGCGTTTCCTTTTGTTTCTCCAGTCCGGTCATTGTATTGTAATTCCGCTTTACCGCTAGTGTGTGTTCCTTTTGCTCATTAAACCCCGCATTTCCCCGATCCTATGTCTCCTCGCCTCTGCTTCCCCGGTCAGCGTTGTGACAGTGAACCTGCTTCCATGCTGCAATGTGAACATTTGCCATGTTCCTAAAAATCCTGTTTATTGCACAGTGTCTGACCACACAGATCTATTGCCAGATGATCATACTGGACATATCAACTAGACATATTCTGCACCATTACAGATTGATGTCTTGCATATACACAGAAACTGATTTTTATCGATTACTCAAGAACATACAATATAATTAATACCAATTGTTTTCACTGTAAAAATAATTCCCGTGGTTGTTCATATTCTCATTCTTACTAAATATTTACTTTTTAATAATATATACAACGAACCGAATCAGGCTTAATCAAGATAGGTGATCTATCACTTTAACGATCCCCGAAATTAACCTCCTGGACCGGACAAATACAAAACGAATGATTAAACATTATGTGCGGTTAGACGCACATTATATGCGTCTCTTTTTGTATGTTTTCTAAATAAGACCGCGTGCCCATACCCAACTGCAATAGCGATTAAAGCGATCAATTCTTTTAGTATGTATGTTAAAGCAAGACTTTTATTTTATTACTGTTCCGGGATTTATCTTTGGAAACACTTAAATTTAATAACCACAAAAACATATGACATAAACACGACTGTATTGTGGGTTTTACGGCTTTTTTGGAGGCCACCGACTCCGCTGTTGTGAGAATTACTGACTGTCTTGTTGTTCGAATTCGTGATTCCCCCCCCCGCTCCCTCGCGTACCCCCTACAGCCTCTTGCGTATACCCCGAGGGTACGCGTACCCTAGTTTGCATGGGAACCGCTGCTCTAGAGCACCTTACATGGGTGGAGACCTAACCCCAATGCGCAACCCAAAGTCAAAGTTATGGCCTTGCGAAAACAATCATCCTCCCTATTATTTTTAAAATATTTTTAATACGTGAGGGATCCTACCTTTAATGTTACATTAAAAAGGGTTCAAATTTGCTTAACGATTCACTATTGTTTAATAAGATTTTGCATGTTAATATAAAATGTTAGCAGGCAGTACATCACAACCTATTATATAAAGAGTAAAATATAAATAGGTCTAAGTATTAAACCCAGCATAAGATCTAAACTTGACGCTGTTAATGACTGATATGTGACCACGGAACAAGTAGCATAAGAGACGTACAGCGAAAACACGGATATTAGTCAGACATGTACGATATATCTTGAAATGAAGTGAATCGAAAACATTGTGGAAATCCATTGCCCTGTAGTCTGTAGGCTACATATTTGTACATGTGCAATCGGCTCGATTTACACTTTGTTTTAACGGAAAAGGGCAGTTTCACTTCCTTCGTCTTAAAATAGAAGTGCTGTTGGCAACACTTTTGTAAACATTTCGGCCATTTTTTAATTGTCGCGTAAATACATTAATATAATGGCAATTACATCTAATATCTACCTTGTCAAGTTTACGCATGGAATTAATAAGATTTTATTTATATTTTTATATTGCTTCATTGTAGACCTAATAATGCAATAGGTTTTTCAGATTACGGTATTGTGAATATTAAACGATTAAATTTTGTCACCTGCGTTACGAGGTCACAACAGCATTTTGCCAGTTAGAATGGTACTGTCTGTCCCTGCGCGGAAACCGTGACATGTTCGGCTCTTTGATGTGCGTCTTGAACTGTCTGTTCAGTATTGTTGATGATCGTGCCTGAAATGCAGATTTTAACGGACTTCTAGGAATGTGCTATTTCTGTCGGCGAGTGCAGTAGCCTATTTCCTCATAATTTTGGTGATTGAGAATGAGAGCGCCACATTAGGGCTATATCAAATAGCGGAAATAAAACAATTAAACTAGAATGCAAAATATGCAACCAGATTCTACTGCATGAAAATAACATATGCAACAAAAATGCAAAGGTAGATTTTCCTAAGACTAAATTTTGTCAATTTCAAAACTTCTGTTAAAATCACCCAAAATTCGCATCAACCATCCAATACAGCCATGTGTTTTCTGACTGGACCACTAGCACACCTTGAAGCACATAATACCTCATTGATTTCTAACTAATTAAATAAATTAATAAAATGAGCTGTGAAATTTAATAAATACATGGAATGGCTGGGGTACCTCGAGGAGAGTTTTGGGAACTGAAGTGGTGTTCATCTAGCTGTCTAACAAGATATCAGTAACTTTTTGGAGAACAGAAGAAATTCTGACTAGTTTTTATTGTGTTACTCTTAATTGGCATATGTTCTAATGTTAAACCGTATTTTTTGTTCTTAGCAAACTTACTACAAAACAAAATAAGTAACTATAAGAATCAAAATAACCAAATAAGGAACAGGGTAACAGTGATAGCAGGATTATTAAAACAGGCAGCATCTCAAACACACAGCATCTAACAATAACTGACTGAGGAAACTAAGGCAGGCACTTAAATACAATGATGAGGAGGCGTAAGAAAGGCAGGCATGAATCAACGAACCAATCAACGAGGGCACAGGGCAACAAGACACAGGTGAAGAAACTGACACTAATGAACACGGAACTTACAAGACCTGAAACTAAGAAAATACAGGGAAATACTACACTAGGAGAAAAATCAAGAAACAAGTAAAACAGAACATAACCACGGCAGGGGCAGAGAACCATAAACAAGACAAATTAAACACAGGGATAAACAATATCAAACTAAGGATAAACCAAAATGGGGAAGCAATGGATTAATAAAAACTATGAAAAACAGAACACCTAGGCGTCGTCCGGCAGGCTAGCACCGGCACGAGCCAAGGTAGCGGTGGAGCGAGCAGCTTCAAGGGGCGAGCTAACCTTACGAGGCTGAGGAATAAGCTGTGGCTGGCCCACCCTCGCCTTTTGCACGGCAGAATCCCGATCTGCCTCCATCTCCAAAGCCCTTATCCGCAGCATGCAGTTGGGCCTGGCAATCCTGCCTATTAATCTCCAGTTCGAGTTCCCTAAGCCGAATTGTAAGGAGGATGTCCTCCTTAGGCGAGCCGGGATCCCTGGGATCCATGCGTGGCCGTAACACTTTATAATACTGTTACGTAGTTAACAGGTAAATATGCAGGAAGTAAGCAGCAACAAATGAGTAGCGCTTCATTAACACCTAAATTGGTACTAACAACTACTAAGGAGTTATGCTTAATTACTCAATAGGTAATAGTGAACTAATTATTATAGTAGTTCTCTTACTTCATTAGGAACTAT